TTGTAAACTTAACATTAAAATCAATCTCTCCACCAAAAACTTACACTCAAATTAGAAGTAAGCTCAAAAATTATGAAACCAGAACTTCCTTTAGACCCATTTTTTATTCGCACCTTTATGCGTTCGTATATCGGTGAATTATCATCATGCGTGCTTTCTTGCTCTGACTATCTCATTTACTTGACGGACGAAAGCTCATTAAGGATTCATCAAGCTTGTGGGACGTTGAGCCAAGGAATTATTCGAACAAATTTTCATTCACAGCTCCAAGGCATCCCCACTTTGACTTCTGGTGTGGCCAACTCACGAATTTATTCCACTCGCCCTTTTAAACGAAATGAAAGGTACTTTAACATAAATACAGAAAAGTATTTTCGGAAACTAATCTTTATACAAATTAATGGATGTATTTTTCGTTCATAAGTAGGCTTTCGAGAGTATATATTATATGTCATGTCTTCACCCTATTTTAGTAAAAGTGATGAGAGACTGGTAGTTGAAATTTCCCACAATAATATGAGTAGAGCTTCCAATGAATTTCCCATAACCTTGTTTACCCAAAAGGTGTTCTCATTCAGAATGGATTACAGTTTCGATCTTGCCTAGTTCTTATCAATGCTCCAAGTGAGACTCTAACCAAGTCATTTCGGCGTTTAATCTCGACAGACTACATTGCCACTAGTGTCCTAGGTTCACAGAGCAGATGTGAATTTCTAGGAAGTGAGTTTGTCGATGAAGAAAAGGTATATTTTTTATGATAATCGATTACATTACTTAATTTATGTTCGTAATAAGGGTTTAAAGACTACCAGTAAATCAGTTATATAAAAACCTACTTATGAACGATAAATGAGTAATGGAGTCGATTATCAAGGCAAATGAAACTTTGCTCCATCGACAAATCCACCACAGAATGTACTATAGGAAAATCCGAATCTGAACTGTGACCCAAGGGCACTCGCGAAAGTGTGGCGCAGTGTTTAACGTTTCAAGATTACATGCTGTATTTTTATGGTTCAACTCTTGCTGGGGGTGTTGATTAGACATAGGCGAGGTCGAAAAACAGTATTGTCTGAATGAGCTCAACTTTTGCGAAAGCAATGGAAGCTTCAACTCTACTCATATCATTGTGGAAAAATTGAACTAACAATTTTTCAACGACTTAAACGAAATATGGTGAATACTTCCATTGTAATGGTTGGATTGCCGAACCTTCATTTGTCTTTGCCTGGCTAAGTAAGCTAATTATTAACTATGCCAATTTATGTCAACTAAATGAAAGCAAATAAAAAGTGTGTCTAGCTTACTCGTTAGCTTAAAGTTGGCTGTAAGGATGATACATTGTCTGACGGGGTTCATCATATGACGAACGAAAGCTTAGCCCATTTTCACCAGAAACAGAGTCAACAAGAATGTTCCAGTAAAGCCAATCTACAGCTGATCAAGAGGAATTTTCCATCGTCTTCTGGTGGAATCGACCTTCGAATCTATTCACCAAACACTTTCACTCGAAATGGAAATAGGCTTACGAATTTTAAAACAGGAGATTGTTCGAAACCGAACTTTTCTTCGCAAATAAAAAGTAGTCAGTCCTTAATTTTGAACCAGTCTAAGCAAATAATTTTGTGCCTTCAAAAAGAATCAGCTCTAAAACATTTTGAAAAATACATACAATGTTCCCCCAAAAATTAGGATTTTGAGACTAACTGTAGATCATTTATATATGAAATGTACTCGCCCTATTTCGTGTAAGGTGTTTAGGGAAGTGGTAGTTGAATTTTTCCACAATGCTATGAGTAGACCATTGTACTGCACGTCGGTCTGCTTCCCCACAAGGTACTCTCATCCTGAACTGTTCTCATCTGCATCCCCAGGGGGACTCGATCCATGACGCTGAAGTGTATAATCTCTAGACGTTAACCCCTAATCCACAGTGCCGCGAGTGTCCTTAGCTTAGAGGGCAGATATGAAATCAAATTGAAACGTAAGCTGTACTAATATCATTGCAGGAAATAGGGTGAATAGATATCATATAATATTGGTACCATACTGTAACTGAATTAATTTACTCGAAACTATAGATAAGGATACCAATGATAAATTACCAACCTCTTTATCAAGCTTTCGTCATAATCCATGCTTGGTTTGCCTATACCAGCACCCAGTTGCACCAATCGACTCTGCCCCCCGGAGCCATGAAAAATCAGTCCGTTGCCTATAGAATCGTTGGAGAATGAATGCAAGAGCATGGCAACCAGACATCCGGTACGACTGAGTTTTGATCGAGCGGCCAGTACGGGAAGGTCAGTCGTTGCGAAGAGCACCTTTCGGACATTGGAAAAGCACCATTTGCGCAGCTGTACACCAGGGCCGTCTGGCCACGACTTAACCTTAAGAAAGAAGGCAGCAGAGTCATCTTCATTTGGTTGTGAAGAGAGGAGAGAGTGCGACAATGGCATAGTCGTAGAGGACAGTTCGGTATAGACCTCTACAACTAGCTCGAGGCAGTCCGGCGAGTCTTTCTGTCGCCCGAGGGCCAGAAGCCGACCTTCCTGCATCAAAGTCAAACAGAGAATCACCTTGAGGCAAGTATTGCAGTCGGTCAGCCTCACTCCTCTCAGTCCTGCCAAATCAAGCATGACAGCGTCGTTTGACGTCGAGTAGGTGAGTGTACCACGTGACAGCGAGGCCGCTTGACTGCCGGCCAACACACGCACAGAGTCAACCAGCAGCTCTTGTGTGGGCAGATGAAGGAGTGAAAGATACCGACATTCGCTGGCCTCGCCATCACCGCGATGAGGCTCGACGAAGTGGGAGACTCCGTTTTGCAGCGCCACTTCTTCATGCAGCCCTGCCAGCCAGTCACGGGATACAAGCAGAAGTCGACTTGCCCGAAACCTCAGCGCCACGGAACCCGGTTGGTGAGGCAAAGGATGGTGTTCGCCGGTGAAGAGATTCAACTCTTCTAGACGATCACTTTCGTCATGCACAGTCCCGTTTTGGTCATCTTTTCTGATCAAAAAAGGGACCCAGACGTCCGGTGGACCGTCGGACTGCAAGAGGAGACGCATTAAGGCCAGTCGAATGGCAAAAGTAGACAGCCCCGAAAACGAATTTATCACACGTACTGGGCTACCATACAAATCGTACCAGACAACTTGGTTGCTGGCCGACAATGACACAGTCACAATGAGCCTGTTGGCCATTAGGCAGGCTAAACTGTCGTTTAGGCAGAAAACGGTGCGGAGTTGAAGGTGACCACAGTCCTTAAGTGGAGCCAAGTTTTCCTGAGTTTCGGTAGTTGAGTCGGAAACGAGAAAATGATGAAATGGCCAGAAAGCGGCTCGAGGACGCAGGCAAGAGTTGCTAGGCCCCAGGGTGTAGCAATGATGTACCAACCGGGAGAGCCAGGAGATGGGCTCGTCGGCGTCACTGATAGAGGGTGTGATGGGGAGCAGGCCGGAGGGCATCGAGGGTGCGGCGAAACGAAGGAGAATTTCGGTGGCCAGACTAGCCGGATTGTGGTTGAGGTTGAAAGCTGCAAGTCGGAGAATGGTGCAAATCTGAGCGATTTCCGCAGCCGCTGCCAAGTCGCTGTTTGAGACATCATTGGAAGCATAATCAACTGATCTGAACGGTAGTTGAAGGTCGGCGATTAACTCAGACCTGCAGAATTTGAGCGAAAGTGAATATTAATAGGCGAAATGGAGAAGCAACTTTTCTGGGACAAGATGGCGAGATACAGTCAAATCGAGTAGTTAAGGAGTGATAAGAGGAAAATGGTGCCATTCAATTATCATACATGAGAAGTAACTTGACATGATGGAGATAATTAAATAGAAAATCATACAATGAGGAGAAATAAGCATTACAGAGTAGATAAAAAATAAGAGCAGAAAAAGAAAAGTCTAGTTGCATTGAAAAATGTGACAATTAAGCAGCCAATAAATTGC